TTTAGCTTAGATGAGCTTAATACTAATGAAAATGATGAATCTCATTTTTGTATGATTTTAGATGTGTAGATGATAGATCGAGAGATGAAATCTACCGTTGGAAATACTAATTATTAAACCTGAGGTTTGGACCTAGGGATAGTTTAGAGCTCTTGGGGATTAAATGGAGTCACAAAGATTGATTAATGGGCTAAAATCATGACTAAACCACAGAAGTAGACATTTTAAAGATTTTTACATATTTATAGGAGCAATCAGTTCTTCCTATTGTCAAATAGGGTTGGTTTATTTTAATTTTGAAATTTGCATCGTTAAATTTCGATTATCATATTTTAGGCATTAATTCATCATTTTCATAAAAAAGAGGTCAATTTTCACATTACTTCACCAATCTAAAGATTCAAAAATTGTTAATTCACCGATTTTCGAAAAAAAAAAAGGATTTTAGTAGCCTATTTATAAGAAGTGATCAAAACATGAAAATTATTAGCCATAAAGGAATTATCTTAGCCTTTGGGCGTACACCACGAGGTTGACCAAAGGACTTACCGGCTCAACTCCTTTTTCTTAAACAGATAGACGATGCGAGGACCCCTTCGTCTCAAAACTTCAGCTTGGTTTGGATTTCAAGGAGAAATTTATGCCAAATGAGGTTGGATGACCAAGCAAGATCCATACTTAGAGGAGGCTTTTTGTGAAGGCTTGGTGAAGTAAGGAGGCTTCAAGTCAAATGGAGAAAAATCTCAAAATCAAGGCTAAGAATAAAGATTAGGATGGGCCGAAGGAATATTGCTCACTCATTTATAGCACTCAAGAAGAGTTAAGGAGAGGAAAAGAGAACTAAAAAGCTAAAGGAAAGTTTCAACTAAGGCCTTTAAAACGTGCTTTGCAAGGAGCAAGAGATTCAGAGAGATTTCTATGTATTGGAGGTGAAAATAGGCCTCTATTTATAATGGTTCTGCCAAAGGAGGAAAAGAGCGCATAGGCCTCTATTTAAAGTGGTTCTACTAAAGGAGGAAAAGAGGGCTTTTCGATGTGGGATTCCACTTCCGACCGCTGCCAAGAAGAAAATTGACCGCCAGCTGTTATGCCTGCACGGATCAACTGTCGATTGACAATCAAAAATCCTTTTGCTAGCGGTTAGGTTTTCTTTCAAATTAGTTCAACTAGCTTCATTTGAGTGGTTCATGAAAATTGGAAAGATCTAGATGTCTAGTTTCTAATCCAACTTGAGCTCTTTTCATTTAGAGGTCTATCTGTAGCTTGAGTTACATGATCAAAACAATAGAGAAAGGCCATTTTTGAGCTCTTTTGATATGCAATGATTTGCACTGATTTTGTGCCTAGTCCATGGCCGTTTCTACTTAAATTTTAATATGCCATATACCATTAGAATTCTACTTTTGTCTTATATCAATGGTACAAAGGTTGTTCCAATATTCTATTTTTGGAAAGAATTATGACTAAAAGAGTGAACAAATGTCACTTTTGACTCTAAGTTAACCTTCGATTCTTGGTCGATTCTCTATCGGTTTGAATTGTACCTTTTGTAACAGCTTTGCCATGATATAAAAGTGTAAAAAACAAGTGTTCATAGTCTAATGTTTGAGCTATCAAGGCATCAGGAGCGACCACTTTATCCTTCGTAGCTGTTTTATCGACTTTTTGATACCTTCACAAAATCCAAAACTATCCCATTGAGTAAGCCAAAAAGTTGTTTAGTGTAAATGCAAACTATGGACATGGATTCAATTATATTGGAATGCTTAGGTGGGATACAAATGTGCAGATTAATGGGTCGTGAGCCATTAGTCTAAAAATAGTAAGGCTAGAGAGAGAGAGAGAGAGAGAGAATAGAAAGAAAAAGTTGGAAAGAGAAAGATAGGGGAATAAATGCTGATTGCATTCAAATTTATGTATCTCAAATAACAACAATCCCTATTTATACAAGTTTGTGAAGTGCATTCCAAGAAAAGCATGTATTCTAAAATAATGTCGTAGGCTATATATATAAATACAACATATACACAATATATGCAATTAAGCTTCTTGATATCTAGATCTAAGTAGCCACTTGCTAATTGCTTTTTTAAACTTTGCCAATGGATCTTGGACTTGGCCCTTTCGACTTATTTCTCGTTGGTGTCAACACTATTACATTTTCTTTTTAAGTAAATCAAAAGGTACATATTCTTAGTCTTAATTTATAAATTATAAGAATAATTTTTTAATTTTTGATAGTAATTTTGAAAATCCAATATTTAATTAACAAGGTAAAAATTAGATAAACTAGGTACCTTATGTGGTGTGTACAACATATTGTTATTATTTAGTCGAAAATTTGATATTATTTAGTGTAGAATATTAATACATGGTGTATTGTGCATACATCATATTATTGAAAATAAATGTTCAATAATGTATCTAGCTATGTTATGGTCCAAGTTTAATCCAAAGAAAACTTAACTATGACTAGAAGAAATGAAGGTATTTGGTGAAAAATTGTTATGGGTACGTTGGCTTGCATCTATCAGGAGTGCATAATCATAGGTTGGATAAAACAGACGAAGTCTGTTTAGTCAAAAAAAAAAAAAAAAAAGGAAAGCATAATGCAAATAAGGTTGGATAAAACAGACGAAGTCTGTTAGTCAAAAAAAAAAAAAAAAGGAAATACGTAGTTAATAAGATATGGCTAGATTCAAGAATCTGAAGCGAAAAGCAGAATGAGTGAGGACATGAGAGAAATAGCTATATAATTGAGCTCAGGTCTGCTCGTTTATCATAAGAAAAGTGAATACTTAACATGGTTGATTGAGAACATGCGGCGTTAAGCCAAATTCATTCATTTGTATAATCACGATTAGCGTCGCCATTTTATGAGAATTTGTTATCCGTATTCTTATTACTAAGGGATAAAAAAAAAAAAAAAAAAAGGAAATGAGAATAAGAAGAGTTCAAGAAAGGGAAAAGCAGAGATGAGTGAGACATGAGAGAAATATAAGAATTTGGTAGGTTAGAAAAGAAAGGATATTAAAGGTGATTTAAATGCGGTTAAGCAATTCAATTTATTTGTACAGATTAGCGTGCCATTTACAATATTTGTTTCCTATTTTTCTAGGGATCTTAGAGGTGACCTCCAAACAATGTGCTCCTTCTAGAAAATATATATTAAAACCAAAAATGTTCTAAGATTTACAACTTATGGGTTTGAGGCTTGAATGGTCCCTTTGACACTATCCTGAATATACAATTAAGTATTTTCAAGCTCTAATTCGAGTCTCTCGTTTAGGCCTAATTTTTGAGCTAGTGTCAATAGAAGAACAAAAATAAACTCGAATTTGGTTCATTCAAACCTATCCAAAACTAATGCAGCCATTTTTGTCTCTGACTTGCAGGTAATGATAAGTAGTTTTGGTAAAACTGATTGAATCAAATCTATTTTGGTTATGTTAAATTTTTCAAAATTTTGGTGATTTCAATTTAAATAGATTTCAGTTCAACTTGGTAAAAAACTTGAAAATTAAATTGATTTCACCGAAAAATTAAGTTAAAATTAATAATAAAATTAAACCTAACTAAATTAATCGATTTAGTATAATTTAATGTTAAAAATTCAATTTATTTTGTTTATACTAATGCAATTTATTTTCAACCATAATAATTGAATGTTCAAACCTAGTTGAAGGTAAGAACATGCATTGTCCTTGCTCCTCTTGAAACCAAATTCAAGCTTGTTGCGGAGAATGGCAAATTTATCGGAATAAAAAAAAAAAAGGAAGTCTTTTTTTTTTTTTTTTTTAAAGAACAGGCAGGGCCGGGCGCCGCGGGAAATCCAAAGGCTATTAGCTGGTTGGCGGGGAATGTTTTGGCATATTTATTTTTTTTTAAAGGTGATGTTTTTTTTTTCTTTTTGTTTGTTTATAAATTAAAAAAAAAATTTATATTTAATGTTTTATTTTTATTTTTTTTTTTTTTCTTTTTTTTTTTTTTTTTGTTAAATCCAGAGAGTAAGTTTTTTATTCTTTTAATCTTTTTACATTAATGAAAAAAAATAGGTTATTACTTATGGTGTGCTTGTTTATCTCTTTTTTTTTTGTTCTATGTGTAAAATATTATTTTATATATTTATAATATTATATATATATATATATAAGAGTTTTTATTTTTTTTTTTTTATTTTTATTTTATGGAAAAAAAGTGTTTTTTTTTTTTTTTTTTTTATTTTTTTTTTTTATTTTTATTTTTTTTTTATTAACTTTTTTATTGTTTTTTTTTTTATAAATATAATCCCATTTTATTTTAATAGTTTTATTTTTTTTTTTTTTTTTTTTATATTAGTCTAATTTTTTTTTTTTTTTTTGTCTACCGGATGGTTTTTTTTACTTTTTTTTTTTTATATATCTTTTCAAAAATTCTTCTATATTTATATTATACGTAAAAATCAACCAATAGATCAATATCAGTTTATCTTTTTGTTTTTTTATCTAAGACTGTGTAATTAAATTTTATTCTGCTCTCGGAAAAAAAAAAAAAAAAAGAAAGTGAGAATATTATTTAAAAAAATTTTATATTTATTTATTTAGTTTATAAATATATCCATAAATTAGGTATAGATAAGTCTAATTCCACTGATTGACTCGTGAAATCTTCAAAAAGGCAATTAAAAGTAAAATCAAACCAATAGATCAATTCAGATCCGGTCTACCTAAGACTGAATTAAAACCTGTCCGGTCAACCTAAAAAAAGGGTCTGGCTGGAACCATGAGATAGAACTAGAATAATCCTCAAGTAACAATGCGGTGAGGGAGGTCCTTCGAAGAGCATAGTTTTTTCCCTATCGGTCTCGGGTCGATGCGGTCTTCAGCCCGCTTCCCACCTAAGATACCACGTGGCCATACAAAAACACATGAATCATTTCTGGACTTGATAACAACATGCCACGTGGTCATCATCTTCATGTGTTTATCCTGATCTTTTCTATAATAATACGGAATCCAAACCGGTCCTTCTCTTTCCCTATCCAAATTCCAAATCTGAAAATTACATAAGATGATGAATCTTTTGGCGTTGTCTCTTGTTCTTACTTCCCTATTAACCGCACAGGTCTGGTCCCCAAGCCCAACAGGAAAGCACCAAAACCAGAAAGAAGAAGATGTTATAGTTAAAGAAGGCCATAGGGTTATCGTTGTCGAAACTTTTGATGATGAAGGTGGCCAACATAACACCAAAATCAGAATCTCACCACCTCAAGATTCTATTTCCTCCGTCGGAGTAATCGAAAACGCCAAAGAGAAGGTTAAACAAGCAGCCCATGTTCTTCCAAATCTTGGACAAGGCCTTTCTAGTTCTGGTTATGGTCCCGACTCTGGTTCTTATCAAGATAAGATAACTACAGGTCCGGGGGAGCTTATATGCGACGCATTTGGTAAGTGTAGGCATAAGATAGCGAAAGTAATTGATAAAGCGAAAGAGAAAGTAGAAGATGCATATGGTGGAGCTACACATCAAACGAAAGAAATAATTCATGAAGCTAAAGAAATTGCTCAAGAGGGGATTATTCGGAAAAAACGAATAGCTCATGAAGCGAAAGACAAAGTAGAAGATGCATGTGAGAAAACCAAAGAAACTGTTTCTCATAAAGCCCATGAAGCTAAGGAAGTAGTAGAAGATGCATATGAGAAAGCTAAAGACTCCGGAACTCAAAAAGCTCAAGAAGTTAAAGAATCTGCAAAAGAATCTTTAGATAAAGCTAAAGATATAGCAAAAGATGCAAAAGATTTAGGAAAGACTATTGGGGTAGATTCAGTTAAAAATGTATCTGAAAAAACAGGGCAAGCTACAAACATAGTTTATAATTCTTTGAACAGAGCATTTAGGTTTATGGGTTCGCAAAAAGGGATTCATTTTTTGATGGGTGTTATCAATTTACTGGGTTTTTCCATAGCTTATGGAATGTGTTTTTGGGTTACATTCATTTCAAGTTATGTGTTGGCTAATGCTTTGAATAGGCAACAGTTTGGGTTGGTGCAGAGTAAGATATATCCTGTTTATTTTAGAGCCATGGGTTTTTGTATCGCGGTGGCTCTGTTTGGGCATTTGATTGGGCGGATGAAATTTTCGTTTACTAGTAAGGCAGAGGTTTTTCAAGCTATTAATCTTCTACTATCAGTTTTGCTGGTTTTGATCAATGCTCTGTATTTGGAGCCTTTGGCTACCAAGGTACGTACCTCTGAATTAGCAGAGTCGAGCTCAGCTTATGAGTTTTAGTGTAGTCACTGTATGATTGAATTAGTATTAATGTCTGAATGAATTGTAATTTGCAGGTGATGTTTGACAAACTAAAGATTGAAAAGGAAGAAGGCAGAGGAAGAGAAACCTCAACTACAGAGTCAAACAGGGCAGAGCAAGAGCCAGTCGCAGATGCTTCGCCTGCAACAGCTTTAGGATCCACCGCCACCACCACCGGATCTTCAGCTCCGACAAAAGTCCCGGAAAATAGAAAAGAAGAGGAAATCAGGTCAAGGATTGTTAGAGTGAATGAGAGGCTTAAGAAGCTAAATTCGTGTTCATCGTTCTTGAATATACTGATTTTGATGGCTCTCACTTGGCACTTGGTGTACTTAGGCCAGTGGCTCCATGGGACTTGCTAGCTGGAAAATTAGGATGTTCGTGTTTGTATTGTTTTTATGTATTTTTGTTTTACTGTATTGTTCAATTTTGATATGAATATGACTGTTTAGTGTCAGTTAAGAACACCGTCTCCCGTAGGGCAGAGACATTTAGGAATTAATAAATTTTACTTGTGCTGCAAACTTTCTCTGTAGGGCTGCTATCATTTATTGCAATGATAGGAGTTTTAAGAGTTTTTTTTTGAAGTAGAGAATTTTCTCTATATTTCTCTTTTCCCTTGATTAATATATATATATATATATACTATATATATATTATATATAAATATAAAAGTTGACATTGTTAACTTCTTAAGATGAATGTATTTTTTTTTAATTTTTGCCACATAAGATTTTTTAATGATTGACGGTACTACTGTTTCTGCTCAACCGACGGATTCTTTTTGTTAATTTTTCCACATAAGATTTATTAGTGTTTTTTAATTTTTGCCACATAAGATTTTTAATGATTGGAGGTCCTATTGTTTCTGTCTCACCGACGGATTCTTTTTTTTAATTTTTGCCACATAAGATTTTTAATGATTGGAGGTCCTATTGTTTCTGTCTCACCGACGGATTCTTTTTTTTAATTTTTGCCACATAAGATTTTTAGTGATTGGAGGTCCTATTATTTCTGTCTCACCGACGGATTCTTGGTTTGCTGAGGCGAAAACAGAAATTTCACGCATGTTTCCTAATCTTGGTCCAGCAGGGGAAGAAATAAGTCCCCATTCGGGTGTGGGGGCAATCCATTCCAAGGGATTATAATGTCACATTGGATTCTTAAATTTTAATATTGTCATATAGAATTTAATTACTAGTTATATTGTTATAATAAATTGACGCAGAACGGTAAATGTAAATGGGTAGATAATTACACTCCGTCGGAAGTTTTGATCAATAATGTTTAATCTGACGAAATAAATAATCGAAAAGAACGTTTGATCCGATGAAATAAAGAATCAGAAAGTAAACTTTTGGAAGAAGTTTATTTGAATATTAATAATGATCTAAGAATAATGTCTTCATCGTAATAAAATAACCTATTTATAGATTTAAAATAAAATTGGAAATCCTAAAAAAATAACACAAAAGTTGTAATTGGGCGTGTCAAAGCAAAACACTGTCAAAAGTAACGGCACAGGTGTGCTGTAACCGATACAGGCGTGTCCTGGACTTCCAGAGGTGAAAACGGGCCTGCTGAAAACGGCACGAGCGTGTCTCTTCTTCTTAGTCTTGAGTGTGTTCTTGCGCCTTGAACTCCAGAGGGAAGCACGGGCATGTTGTGAGCGGCACGGGCATGTCCCGGACTTTCAGAAGCGGACACGGGGGTGCTGGAAACGGCACGGGCGTGTCTCTTCTTCTTAGTCTTGAGTGTGAATCTTCCATTTATTGAAGTGCAAGTTGCTCCGCATCAATCCCCCCCACTTAAAAAGAGCTCGACCTCAAGTGATCATCATCAAAGTAGAATGGGAATAAATCAGCAATATTGAAAGTTCGGAAAATCTTCATGTCTTCAGGTAGGTCAACAACATAGGCATTATCATTAATCTTCTTAAACACCTACAATGGACCAATCTTCTTAGAATCAAGCTTCTTCTCTCCTCCGCCTCGCTCCTTGCGAAGATAAATCATGATCCAGTCACCCACGACAAAAGACTTATAACGTCGGTGTTTATTAGCTGTAGTTTTGTATTTTTCATTAGTAGTAGTGATGAATTGCTGTACTTGTTTGAACACCTTTACATTCTCGGTAGCCAAGTTATTAGCTGCAATACTCTTCTCTACACCTGTCGGGAGAGAAAGAAGATCAAGGGTATGGGCTAGAATCTTCCGGTAGACAATTGCAAAAGCTGACATCTTGGTAGAGCTATGAATAGAACTGTTGTAAGCAAATTTTGTTTGGGAAAGAGCAAGATCCCACATCTTCTTCTTCTTCCTGTAAATACACCTAAGGAGATTACTCGTCGAGGGCCCACTATGCCAAAAGCGGGCCCCCGGCGTCCGGTTCACCACTTCAATTTGACCATCAGTTTGTGGGTGTGCGGTACTACTATAGCGAAGATGAGTGTTAAATCTTTTCCATAAAGTTGTCCAAAAGTGAGCCAGAAACTTCGCATCTTGGTCGGATGTGATGGTTTTGGGAAATGCCATGCAACCAAACAATCTCCTTGAAAAATAGTTTGGCAATATATAAGGCATCACTAGTTTGCCTGCAGGGAATAAAATGTGCCATCTTGGAGAATCTGTCAACAATAACAAAATAGAATCAGCTCCGCGTTGATTACGATGTAAACCCAACATGAAATCCATAGACAAGTCCTCCCACGGTTGTTCTGGCACCGACAACGCGGTGTATAGGCCGACATTTTGAGAATGGCCCTTCTATGTTTGACAAACGGAACATTTCTGTACTAGCTTCCCAACTTCCTTTTTCAATTGTGGCCAATAAAAACGAGCCTCCAACCTCGCAATAATTTTATCACGTCCCAGATGACCGCTCAACCCACCACCATGGATTTCTCTGATTAGCTTTTCCCGGATAGAAGATCGAGGAATGCATAACCTATTTTCTTTGAATAGATACCCGTCATGTACCAAGAATCCATCTTAGTATGAATTTTAGTCCATATGTCAGCAAAATCTTCATCCGAAGCATAAAGTTCTTTGAGAAATTTGAACCCCACAATCTCTTCCCTAATTGTAATCAAAAAGGCTGCTTTCCTGCTCAAAGCATCCGCTATGGTGTTACAAGTACCCAATTTGTGCTTAATGACATAATGGAAAGCACCAAAATAAGTTGCCCAACACATATGCATCTGGCACACCGTCTTCTGATGAAAATGAGTTAAAGCTTGATGATCAGTGTAAATAATGAACTGACGTCCTAATAAATATGTTCCTAAGTTTTGAAGGCTCGAAAAACTGCATACAACTCTTGCTCATAAGTAGATTATTTCTGCCTAGCTTCATTCAATTTTTCACTAAAGAAAGCTATAGGTTTTCCTGATTGTGTCAACACACCACCAATTCCAATTCCACAAGCATCGCAATCTACCTCAAACAATTTATCAAAATCAGGCAAAGCAAGAATAGGAGCGAAAGTAAGCTTATCTTTGATTTCTTCAAAGCTCTTATTTGCAACTTCGGTCCATACAAACTGACAAACTCTCTCCTTCTTCAAGCAATCCCTGATGGGAGCGACGATGCTACTGAAGTTTCTGATGAACCGCCTATAGAAAGTGGCAAGTCCATGAAAACTGCGAACTTTGGTGATACTCTTGGGAATGGGCCAGTTTCAGATGGCCTCAATTTTTCTGTCATCAACATTTATCCTCTCCGAGCTAACAATATAGCCAAGAAATACAATCCGCTCTATCATGAAGCTGCACTTCTTAAGGTTGATGTATAACTCATTTTTCTGCAAAGAGTTCAACAATGGACGAAGGTGCTAAAGGTGTTCTCCCTCACTGCGATTGAAGATCAAGATGTCATCAAAGTAAACCACCACAAATTTGCACAAGAAAGGACACAAAACCTAAGTCATAAGCCGCATGAATGTGCTTGGTGCATTAGTCAACTCAAATGGCATTACCAACCACTCATACAAACCTTCCTTGGTTTTGAATGTGGCCTTCCATTCGTATCCCACCTTAATTCAGATTTGATGATATCCGCAGCGAAGATCTATTTTAGAGAACACTGCAGATCCTAACAGTTGGTCCAACATGTCCTCCAGACGAGGAATAGTAAATCGATACTGCACCATGATCTTGTTGATGGCTCGGCTATCCACACACATCCTCCAAGTTCCATCCTTCTTTGGTACCAATAAAGTAGGAACTTCACAAGGACTAATGCTCTCTCGGATATGTCCCTTCTTCAATAATTCTTCCACTTGTTCTTGAAGAATCTGGCTCTCCTTTGGATTCATCTTGTAATGAGGCAGGTTTGGTATCTTTGACCTAGGGATGAAATCAATCTGATGTTAGAATGAGGCAGGTTTGGTATCTTTGACCTAGGGATAAAATCAATCTGATGTTAGATGTCCCGCAAAGGCGAAAGGGTAGACGGTTCTTCAACTAAGGTGTGGAACTCATCTAACTACTCCTTTATAGGTGGTGGTACTAGTGCCCCTTCATCAAAATCTGACTTCGGTTCGATCAGTAAGGCTAATGCACCTCTGGACTTCTCAATCGCACCCGATAATTCCTGCACATTGAAAGAAACAACTACTATGATTTCTCCTCCACCTTAGAAGCTTTGGTTGCAGATCCAGTGATTTTCTTTTTTTTTCCAAGTGAATAGGTATGAATTTTCTCTCCCCTTATGAATGCATCTACATCAAACTGCCAAGGACGACCTAAGAGTACTCCACAAGCATCCATATCCACAACATCACAACTAACAGAATCCGTGTACGATTTATCCATTGAGATAAGAACTTTGCAAATCCGGTTGACTTCAATCGTTGGACCCTCCTTAATCCACCCTACCTTGTATGGTGAAGGATGCGATTCTATGGGCAAATTTAGTTTCTCAACCAGCTGCTTGACTATCAAATTTTCACAGCTGCAACTGTTGATAATGAGTCAGCACATTGCTTAACCAACACAACATTTAGCCTGGAAAATTTTTCATCGCTGAGTTTCACCTTCCTGTTTTGGTGAGTACAATATTTTCTGAACAACATATGTAACTTCACCATCTTCTAAACTAACCAAGGATCCATCATCTTTGTCTTCTACTTCTTCAACCTCAGCCACCTCATCAACTACATTTACTACCGACGCCCATCATTAGCCCCCCTGTGCTCTGGACATAGATTAGACGTATGTCCCGATTTTCTTTATTTGTAACAGTAGTCTCCTGTTGGTTTCTGATATGGGTTTGGTTTACTGTTTCTGTCTACTATAGGAGCTTTTCCCCGGGGGTCTTTCTTTTCTTCTGCTGGAATCTGTCGTGAATCTAAGTTACTAGCAGAAGTTGCTACTCTTGAATTCTGTCCATCGAAATTACCACTAGACTATTGATTTCTGGATGAATAGGGTTGCCTAAAACTCTGATTACGATTAGGTGGTTGTCGAGGCTGCCAATTAAGTCTATCTTCTGCACGTTTGGCCATCTCAATTGCATCTGCCAAAGTAAAAATCGCAGCTACACCCATCATACACATTATATCATGATTCAATCCTCTCTAATAATGAGCTACTTGCTAGGATTC